CTAAACCCCAAACCCTAAATCTTAAAGGAACTTGAGAAGTCCCCGCTTCCTCTATGTCAGATCTGGACTGAAGGGGTCAGGTGTTGTGTTTGGGGTTTAGCATCGAGTGGCATTTGGGGTTTAGAAGTTTAGGGTTTNNTCACGGACTGAGACACAGAGGCGAAGCCGGCTCACCCAGACCTGTTCGCCTGCCATTAAAACATTACTTTCTCTAGCAGGGTGTAGGGTTTCGGGTTTAGGGTTTCGGGTTTAGGGTTTGGTGATGAGGAGGAGGAGGAGCAAAAGGCTGAAGACGCGGTGGGGACCTGGGCGAAGAGAACCTTAAGGAGGTAGTGGTCGAGGATGTAACCGGGGGATCCAGAACCAGACCCCTATCATGGTTCGGTGTAGGGGTTTAGGGTTGTTCAGGGGTTTAGGGCCTATAATGGTGCCATTTTGTGTAAGGTTTGAGTCCACGGGAATAAATAGGATTCTTTTCTAGGTTGGCCCTCTACAGCCCTTGAACAATATTCGCAAACACAATCCTTAGAGTCCAACAAAGGAAATATAAAAGTCTCAGAGGCCTAGCTGGTCTCTTTACCCAAAGGGTTCAAAGTACCTGTATAGTAGAATGTCGGGTCTCTATAGTATTAGGGACCCTTATTATGATTTGGGAACAGTATCCCCCATAACCCTGGACCCTAAACCCTACACACTAAACCCTAAACCTTAAACCCCTAAACCCTGAGCCCTAAACCCCTACACCCCACAACCCTAAACCCCTAAGACCCCTAAACCCTAAGTCCCCCAACCCCTAAACCTAGAGCTCCTAAGCTGCCCTTGACCTTCCTGAGCACTTTCCTGTGCTGCAATGGCGCGAGGGCATGGCATTGTCCTTATCAGCCTTAAGGACGAAATGAGCCCTAGAAGGTTTTAGAGTTCATATACCATATAGGGATTCATAGTATAAGGGTATAGGGCCCCTACTTTTCAGGGTCATTTCGTCCTTACGGAGCCTTCACCTCCAGCAAGAGGTAAGCAACTTCCAACTGCCCGTGCAAACTGCCGTGCAACTGTCAGTGCACGCTGTATCGTGCAAAAGTCGTGCAACCTTTAAGTTCCCATTCTGAGCTGCGATGAACAATGGGCTGACGCCGAAACCAGTCACTTTGTGCTTGTCAGCTTTGGCCTCCAACAAAAGGCGTGCAACCTCCAAGTGCCCATTCCCAGCTGCGCTGTACAATGGGGTGGCGCCACTGTGCCTGGCCTTGTCCTTGTCAGCCTCTGCGTGCAACAAAAGGCGTGCAACCTCCAAGTGACCCTTCTCAGCTGCGATGAACAATGGGGTGTCGCCATCGTTCCTGGCCTTGTCCGTGTCAGCCTTTGCATCCACCAAAAGGCGTGCGACCTCCAAATCCCCGGTGTGAGCTGCGATGAGCAATGGAGTTGCGCCATCATAAATGGCTTTCTCCTTGTCAGCTTTGGCCTCCAACAAAAGGTGTGCAACCTCCAAGTGCCCATTCCCAGCTGCGATGTGCAATGGGGTGAAGCCAGTGTCCCTGGCCTTGTCCTTGTCAGCCTCTGCGTGCAACAAAAGGCGTGCAACCTCCAAGCGACCCCGATGAGCGGCGATGTACAATGGAGTGGCGCCATCATTCATGGCTTTCTCCTTGTCAGCCTTTGCATCCAACAAAAGGCGTGCGACCTCCAAGTGCCCATTCTGAGCTGAGATGTACAATGGAGTGGCGCCATCCTTCTGCGCCTTATCCTTGTCAGCCTTTGCGTACAACAAAAGGCGTGCAACCTCCAAGTGCCCCTGATGAGCTGCGATGTACAATGGGGTGGGACCATGGTTCCTGGCCTTGTCCATGTCAACCTTTGCATCCAACAAAAGGCGTGNNAACCTCCAAGTGCCCATTCTGAGCGGCGAAGGACAATGGGGTGGCGCCACTGTTGCTGGCCTTCTCCTTGTCAGCTTTTGCGTCCAACAAAAGGCGTGCGAGCTCCAACTGCCCACCCCCAGCTGCGATGAGCAATGGGGTGACACCATCGTTCATGGCCTTGTCCATGTCAGCCTTTGCGTCCAACAAAAGACGTGCAACCTCCAACTGCCCATTCCCAGCTGCGATGAGCAATGGGGTGGCGCCATGGTTCTGGGCCTTGTCCTTGTCAGCTTTGGCCTCCAACAACAGGCGCGCCACCTCCAAGTGGCCGCCGTCGGATGCCATGAGCAATGGGGCTGGATCACCCAAATCCGCGTCTTGTGGCCTTTGCAGAATCGTGTCCACGACTGATGTCTGGCCACTTCCCGCAGCAATTCGAAGCTCTTCGACTTGCAGTGCAGATGCTGAGATGAAGTTCACAACCACAAGCTGCATATCGCCAGGTTTCAAGATGTGCTCGTCGTCCGTGTCACTCAACAGGATGTCATCGCCCAAAACCAGCAGCCGTTGCCTGAATCTTGGCTGCCCGCAGAAGTCGTGCAAGTGTTGCTTCAGTGCCCGGACAGGAGAGCTCTCTGCAGTGAGCGTGTCAAGAAAGCTCTGCAACTCAAGTGTGACGAGGACTTCCCCCGACACTGAGCGAATGCGTAACATCTTCGGCTCGTGGCGTGTAAGAGTACCCTAAGGGTCCACGCATTCATGCAGTGTATACATTGGCCTTGCAGTAGTCCCTCTATAGGTACATTGGGGCCAACATATATAATATTGGGGTACACCTAAAAGGGTTTAGCGTTCATATACCATATAGGGACTCATAGTATAAGGGTATATATACATACGTGCATGTATCTTAAAGTTCCTTTAAAAGGTAGCTGTTTTTGGTCCACAAGTAAGCCTGACCATAAAACCGAGCGAGAGCCTGAAGCACTACCCTAGACTCCCACAGTCCCTACAAGCCGAAAGGTTTCAAAGACGGCCCCCTAGTAGAGTTCCCGGGACATCATGGTACTTGGACGCCCCCTGAAAAGTTAACTTCGTAGACCCTAAACCCTACAAACCCTAAACCCTAAACCCATTGAGAAACCCTAGGATAGGGTTCGAGGAATGTATCTTTAGGGTTAAGGGTTTAAGGTTTAGGGTTTTGGGCATTTGAGTATCCTGGTGCGGATTCCCACAGCCCCGATAATTGTTTAGTCAAATCGGTACGCTAGTCGCCAACATTCTATTGTGCAGGATCGAGTACGCATAACTGGGTTGTAGTCTTGGGGCGCTGTAAAAGTATTTAGGAATAGGTACCTCCGTAGAACCATAAGGCGGAATTTTAGAGTTTCCAAATTGCCACCTAGGTAAGACTTTGGAGCTTTTGGCATTGTCCGACATCAGGTTTGGGTTTGAGGGAGTGTAGGGTTTAGGGTTTAGCGATTTGGGGCTTAGGGTTCAGGGTGGGTGTAGGGTCGAGGATTCAGGGAGTCTAAACCAACAGCCACAGGGAAGGAGAACCCTAGACTCAAAACTTTAAACGGTGGGACTATTCGAGGCTGCGCCTTGTGCCTCTCTTCTCCGCTACTCTTGGTGGCCCTTCTTGGAAACCTCAAAGGAACCTGCGTAGCAATGAAGGAACCTTTACCCTAAACCCTAAACCCTAAACCCTAAAACCCTAAACCCTAAACCCCACGCCCTAAACCCCTAAACCCTCAACGGAATGCTCACAATCAAGGAACCCTCAGCGCATCTCTGAAAGAAACCTAATCCCTAAACACACTTTCTGACGAGGTCTGAATCGGTTTAGGGTTTAGGGTTAAGGGTTTAGGGGGTTTGAAGTCACCTCAGAGACCTGTCTTAGCAGCTTACATCAACCCCTACGTGAAACAGCAAAACACCCGCCGTAACCCTACACCCCACCTGCTACACAGCCCCAAATGAGGCCCCTAAACCATGAAAGCCAAGACCCAAACCGTAAATCCCAAAGCCCTTCACCCAGACCTCTCAAAGGATCGAACGATCCAAACCTACGGTTGATGGTATACATCCTGCATTAAAACATAACAAGGAATGTACCATAAATCCCATAGTTTAGGGCTCTTAAGGTAATGCAGGATGTATATCATCAACAGTACCACTGTATGGCTTGCAAGCCTTGATCCAAAGTTCTATCCCGATTAGAGAACCCTAGAATGGACCTATAGAACCCTGAAGGGCCCCGCCATGCATCCTTACCCTAACCCTAAACCCTGAAACCCTAAAACCCTGAAACCCTAAAAACCTGAAACCCTAAAACCCTAAACCCTGAAACCCTAAAACCCTTAAACCCTTAAACCCTAAACGGTGAGGGAAGCCCGAAGCCCTGAGCAGAAGATAGGTCCACACCTGAGGCAGGCGTTGCTCCGTCTGCAGCGATCGGCCACTGGAACCTTCATCTGTCATGGGTTTTGGGGCTGCGGGGTTTGGGGTTTTGAGTTTAGGATTTAGGGTTTAGGGTTTTTTGGATGTAGGGCTTAGAGCGTCGGGATTAGGGTTTCTGGTTGATAGGGTTTGGTGCTCACCCTCCCAAAACCTACCTTTTTTGTAGGGCAGTCCCAGTAAGTTCTATTTTATGACTTATAATGGGTGCTCATCATCTTAGCTTGCTTGTTACAAACGATGTTCTCGGCCGAAGAAAAATATAACTTGTAAGTTGCAGTGGTGGTGGTGGTGGTGGTGGTGGTGGTCGTCGTAGTAGTAGTAGTAGTAGTAGTAATCATCAGTACAACACAGCGTTTAGGGGCTTTCGAGGCAAGATTAAGGCTGAGCATGGGCTCAAGGGCATGACCTAAACAGGGACCCTACTTTAGAGAACTACCCATTTATGGCTCAGGGGGCGTGCGTTAAGGGCTTCGGTTTCAGCGGTTTGGGTTTCGGGCTTGGGGCCTCGCATCAGACCCTAGTAACCCTTACAGCAGCCATTATAGTAAACCTCATAGGGTTTAGGGTTTAGGGTTTAAGTTTAGTCCTAAGCCAAAATACTCAATGCGGTTTCCTAGGGCATTTGGGGTTTAGGATTCAGGCCTAAAGGCTTCACCACCCCGGAACATGATCCCCCCTTTACCAACCCATAGCTTTTCCAAGGCCTATGCAGGCTTGGTAGGAGAAATCGCTGTCCAACTACAATGCTATATGAAGGTACATGAGAGTTCTACCAGAACATGGTTTAGAGTTGAGGGTTTAAGGATCGGATTAAAGGTTCAGGGAGTGAAGACGCCTCATCCACGAACCCCTGCCCTGTGAAGTTGCAATAGAGATCCGATTTTTATGGGCCTCGGGTTTCGGGTTCAGGGCTGAGGGCTGAGGGCAAAAAAACTGTGCCATGAATCAGGAGTCTACATCCCCCCTTCAACGAAGGCAGAAACATCAGGGGCCCGGCCATTGATGGCCTCAAGAGCAACCTGCCTGAGCAAAATGGCTTTGGAAGCGGGCTGTAGACTGTTTGGAGGCATGCAGGGTTTAAGGTTTGGGGTTTAGGATATCAGGGTTGAGGGTTTACGGCTTTAGGGTTTTTTTTTGCTACGGCCCTGCGCGCTGGTTGGCGCGCATTGGCGCCGGCTCAACTCTAGGGTTTATGGTTTCGGATTTTAGGGTTTAGGGCTTGGGGCTCTAGAGCTTTAGAAGGGTTTAGGGCTTGGGGCTCTAGAGCTTTAGAAGCGTCACTTTCTTAAGCAGTTCTGGCGTCTCGCTTCCTAGCGAGCTTGTGGATGTAGGCACTCGGGAGTGCACAGCACAGAGTGTTGCAAGTATCACTAAAACCCTAAGCCTTAAATCTAGGGTTTAGGGTTTAGGCCCTAAACCCTAAACTCTAAAAGCAAAAACCCTCGCCCGTCCAGAGCTTCTCCATTCCATCCTCCGGCTCGGGCCCGTCGAACTTGCTCTTCTCGCCCTCTGCCTGGTCTTCGTTGCACTTGGCTAAACCCTAAACCCTAAACCCTAAACCGATCATGGATGGTTTTTGTGGCTCGATGTCGTCGGCGCTTGTTGGATGCAGCTGCGATGCCTCCAGGCATGCTGCTCGTCGTCTTCTACGTCGCCTTTCAACTGGTGTTGTGTGAGAGGGCCACCAGACACTGATGTCCTCAGACTCTGGCTGAGTAGGTAGAAAACGGGATCATACTCACTCCAAGAAGGGTAGTACTAGCACCAACCGGCTCACTCAGTCCTGGAAGCAAAAAGCCACGGTCAGCCAACTCGTTTAACTTTGTACGATGCGGAGGAATGATTCTAAACCCTCAACCCTAAATTAAACCCTAAACCCTAAAACGCCTAAACCCTAAACCCCGAACCCCTAAACCCAAAACCCCGAAACCCCTAAACCCTAAACCCTAAAACGCCTATGCCGTAATCCAGAACC